CCATACCCTCTTTCTTCATAGAATCCTTCTAACTGCTCTAATAAGGACAAAGTTGTTAGAAATTACATCATCTTGCCATAGAAAATACAAACAGTTTAACCTTATTGAGTCCCTTAAGATTTCTCTTTCATGTTTACTTTTGAGTTCTGTATTTGAAAGTCAGATTTTCTACTGGCTCTGGCCTTTGCATCAGGAATGCTTGAAAGTCCTCTATTTTATTAAAGAATCATTTTACCCCAGTTTTATTAAGCAAATATATTCTAAGTCCTCTACTCTGTCACCATGGTAGCTGCTAAATCTTGTATGATCCTGACTGTGGCTCCATGATATCTGAACAGTTTCTATCTGCTTGAACTATTTTCTCTAAGACCAGGGATCTCTGGATTTTGAAAATAATATTCCTGGGAATTTTCATTTTGAGATCTCTTTCAGGTGATCAACGATGGATTCCTTCCATTTCTATTTTAGCCTCTGGTTCAAGGATAAGGGGAGTTTTCCTTGATAATTTTTTTTTAAAAATATGATGGCTAGGCTCTTTCCTTGATCATAGTTTTCAGACAGCCAATAATTCTTAAATTATTTCACCTTGATCTATTTTCCAGGTCAGTTGTTTTGTTTCTGATGGATACTTCATATTTTCTTCATTTTTTTTTCTTTTTTACTTTGTTTTATTGTTTCTTAATGTCTCATAAAGTCATTAGCTTCCACTTGCCCCATTCTAATTTTAGGAATTTTTTTTTAAGGCAATTGGGGTTAAGTGACTTGCCGAGGGTCACACAGCTAGTAAGTGTCAAGTGTTTGGTCTGAGGCCAGATTTGAACTCAGGTCCTACTGACTTCAGGGCCTGTGCTCTATCCACTATGCCACCTAGCTGCCCCAGGAATTATTTTCTTCAACAAGCTTCTGTATCTCTTTTTCCATTTGGCCAATTCTGCTTTTTAAGAAATTATTTTCTTCAATATTTTTTGTGCTTTTTTTTAACCAAGCTGTTAATTGTGTTTTCATAATTCTCTTCCTTTGTTCTCATTTCATTACCTAATTTTTCCTCTACCACTCTTGTTTGATTTTAAAATTCATTTTTTAGTTCTCATAAACCTTATTGGGCTTGAATCCAATTCACATTTTTCTTTGAGACTTTGCTTGTAGCTATTTGACGTCATTGTCTTCTTTTGAGTTTTGTGCATTGATCATCCCTGTCACCATGGTAGATTTTTATGGTCAGCTTCTTTTCTTGTTGTTTGCTCATTTTCCCCACTGTATTTCTTGATTTTTAATTTTATGTTAAAGTTGGGCTCTTTTCCCAGCATGAAGGAGTAAGAGTACTATCTTAAACTTCAGTCTTTTACACACTACTGTTTTCAGAGCTAGTTCTCTCTATTTCTGTAAGTATGTGTGTATACATACACTGACCTTAGTGTTGCTCCATTTCTGTCTTTCTTTCTCTCCTTTATATATATGACTATATACATATAATCATATGTGAATAAATATAAATATGTATATTGTATCAGCACAGATAAAGACATACAGAGATCATGTCTTTTTTTTTTTTTTTGGTTAGGCAATGGGGTTAAGTGACTTGCCCAGAGTCACACAGCTAGTGTTATGTATCTGAGGCCGCATTTGAACTCAGGTCCTCCCGAATCCAGGGCCGGTGCTCTATCCACTGCGCCACCTGGTTGCCCTGATCATGTCTCTTTTTGCCCAGATCAGTTTGTACCCAGATATAATTTATATGAGGAAGTCCAAATGTAGATTGGTATATAACTTTTTTTTAATCTCAGTTACCAAGGGAACTGAGGGCTTAAGTGACCTATCCATGATCTCACAGCCAGTATGTATCAAAGGTAGGACAAAAATTCCTGACGCTAGAGCCAACTCCCTCTCCATTATGTGATGCTGACTCTAAATAAGCATATGTAGATATATATAAATATCTATACATGTGTATACACAGGCTTTCATATGAATTGGCATATGGCATTAAATATAAAGTGCTTTAGAAAAATTAAAACATTCTATCATGTTAGCTATTATAAATAGTTGATAGATATGTAGATCTAGCTACAGATTTTTACACATATACTATGAAAGAGCAAAGTAAAAAGAGACTCTAGTTTAAGCAAGATGGTGTGGAGACCAAGAAGTTTCCCCTTTTTGAAATTAAACCAGAGACTACTAATAAATCAACTGTTTATTTCAGCCCTCAGAGGTACAGTACATTTCACACAGTCATTATCCTCTTATGCCATCCTGGATAAATGTTAAATTACTGAGGCATGCAAGTATGTGCTAAGATCAATAGAAAACTAGGAATTCAGACATGGCCTTGATCCCAGAATACACAGCAGGGGATGCCTATAGAGGACAAGGACATAATATGTTGGAGAGCTCTACTTGTGCACCAGCTCACCAGCTGTGATCAGAACTCAATTTTCTCACCCATTTCTGGAAAGGGGTCAGGGAATAAGAAGCTCAAGTGAAAGAAAGTGGGGAAAAAAACCCCAATGCTGGTAATTCTGTCAATGTGTAAACCAGCCTGGGGCAAAGAGTTATCCAGGGGAAAAACAAAACAAACCAATCAGACCAGCAGCAATCTAATAAATGTAAAAGAGAAACCTAAAGCCCCTGAACATTCACAGGGGATATTCATGACTTAGGTAAGCGTAGAGTAAATCTAGTGAATCCTCTGAGATCCCTACCACCCCAAATGAAAATTCTGAGCATCCCAGACACAATCCAACCAACCACACAGCTAAACATCTAACGCTCTGCCCCAAAGTGAGCCTATCCCACTCAAGCCACAAATATCAATGATAAAAGAATAAAGGAATAAAAGAAAAGATTTTAGTTTGATATAAGGAAAAATGACCATTCTAGAAATCCAAAAGTATATGGGGCAGTATGTGGGGCAATGGATTACTCTCACTGAAAATCTTCTTGCAAAGATGAGCACTGAGCACTGGTTGTGGGTATATTATGAGAAGCAGAATGGCCTCATACATAGAACACTGAACTCAAAGTCAGGATAACCCAGGATCAAAACCAAACCTGCCTCACTAGCTGTGAGACTCTGAGAATTCTCTTCACCTGGTTGGGACAATTTCCTCATCTGTAAAATGGAAATAAGTTCCTGTATTTCACATGAGTTTTCTGAGAATCAAATGAGCTTTGCAAACTGAGAAGTGTCATATAAATGAGATTGATTATAAGAATAAAGCTTTAATTAACCTGTATTCCAGTCTGTTGAGATAAAATAATTACATGTGCAGAAAAGATGTTTCTGATAAACATAGGTAGTTAGTAATATAAACAAACTCACTAGGGGAAAAAATGCCAATTAGCCTTTTCTTTTTTTAGAAATACCAATCGAAACTGTAGTTTATTTTGTTTTCCCAATCAATGTCCTTTAAAGAGTTTGGTTGATAAAGCTAAGTGGTCCTTGAGAAGTATCACTTTTCTAGAAGTTACATGAAATCATGAAAACCACAATAGTATGTGGGTATTCTGAATCAGTTCCTACATGGGAGAAAGAATATTGGGACAGTAATGAATAGAGAACCGGCCCTGGAGTCAGGAGGATGTGAGTTCAAATCTGGCCTCAGACCATTTGACACTTCCTAGCTGTATGACCCTGGGCAAGTCACTTAACTCTGATTGCAAAAAGGAGGAAGGAAAAAGAAGGAGGAAAAGGAAAAGAAAGAGAAAGAAGAGGAGGAGGAGGAGAAGAAATAGGACCAGGACAGTAAGACAACTTATTCTCCTAAAACAAAACAAAACAAAACAAAACCAAAAATAAACCAGCTATACCATAGCAATGAGATCTAATGAGAAATTTCTGAAAATCTGTCTCCTCTATATAGGCTATATATGGGGGCTTCAGCATGGAGTTAGCTTGGTTTTTTTTTCATTAATTTGCTTTTTGTGAACAAAAGTATACATCTAGAAGCAGTTCTCACCTAGTAGCATATATATTTCATTTCTAAATTAATCAATCAATACCACTTATTAAATATCTACTTACTACAAAGCATTGAGGATATAAAGGCATAAAAAATTCCTGTCCTAAAGGAACTTGCACTCTCTTGGGGGATGATATTAACATAGAGAAATATAAATTATACTATACACTGATAAAAGAAGTTCTTGTTCAGTAGTTTTTCAGTTATTGACTCTTCCTAACCCTATTTGGGGTTTTCTTATTTATTTTTAGTTTTCAACATTTGCTTTTATAAGATTTTGTAAGATTTTTTTTTTTAGCTGGGCAATGGGGTTAAGTGATTTTCCCAGGGTCACACAGGTAGTAAGTACTAATGTGTCCGAGGCTGGATTTGAACTCAGGTCCTCCTGAATCCAGGGCTAGTTCTGTATCCACTGCACCACCTAGCTGCCCCCAACTTGGGGTTTTCTTGGCAAAGATATTGAGTGCTTTGCCATTTCCTTTTCTGGCTCACTTTACAGATGAGGAAACTGAGGCAAACAGAGTTAAGTGACTTGCCCAGGGTCACACAGCTAGGAAGTGTCTGAAGCCAGCTCTGAACTCAGTATTCCTGACTCCAGGCTCAGCACTCTATCCATTGCATCACCTAGAACCCCAAAGAAGTCACAAGTTGGTGATGGCCTTCACCTAACTACAGTAAGCAAACTATTGAGGGGTTTTCCAGATAATTCTACAATTTTAAAAGTGTAATAAACTGTTCCCTATGTTAAAGAATGAAGATAAGTAAAAGACATTTAAAACTTTAAAAAAGAATGAAGATAAGTAAAAGACATTTAAAACTTTAAAAAAGAAAGCTTAGTGAACTATGTAGATTTTATATAGCAGAAAACAATTCAAGCCAACAAACATTTCTTAAAGATCTTCTTCGTATAAGGCACTGTTATGGATACAAAGTTGAAAACGAAACACTCCTTGCCCAAAGAGGAACTTATAACCTCATTTTCACACGGTATCATAGGGCTGAAATGAGAAAGATATAACATAAAGAGAGCCAACTTACCAGTGGGTCATTGACTGGTACGTGGCAGGGTATCACCACCTTGAATAAAAAAAATAATAATAACAAAATAAATGAGACACTTTTAAAAACTCTTCCCAACTGAATCTATCCAATGTCTTTATGTTATGCTCCTCATTAAACAGAAAAGAAAAAGAATCTAAGAATAGGTGATATGAGTTCATATGGTCCAAGGAAAAGCATCAAAAGTGATAATTCATCTAAATTTAGGAAGAAACTAGATTAAGGAGGAGACAAAGGAAGAAGTGAATTCAAGCTCCATTTTTAAGAAGTGTTCTCTCGACCTAGGTGACTGACTGATTGACTACTGAATGCTAAGACACTCCTAAAGGGCTAGGTGAGAGAGGGGGAAAGATGTACAATAAAGGATTTAAATGCCATATTCTAAATAGAGAATGATTTTTTAAAAAAATGGTGACAGCAACAATTAAGAGCATATGTGGAATTGCACCAGACATAGAGTTCAGTTGAAGCTAGGGAACCCAAATCAGATTATCTGATAATAACCTCTCACACTTACAAAGCACCTGAAGATTTACAAAGCATTTTACATACATTGTCTCATTTGAATGCTATAACTCCATGAGGTAGGTGTCATTATCAGCCATCATTTTACAAAAGAGGAAACAGGCAGAGGAAGAAAGAGACTGAATGACTTGCCCAGAGTCACACAGCTGTCAATGTCAGAGGTAGGTCTCAAACTCAGGTCTTCTTGACTTCAAATCCCACAATTTTACCTACTATGCCAATCATCTTAGGTCAACTCTGCTTAAAAATCTCATTTCTGTAACTGGTGGTTTCTGGAGCCAGGACATTACTGAGTACTAGGGGGATGTTGAAGGGAAGGAGTAGGGAACTTCCAGGGGCAGAGAGAGTGGAGGAAGATGAGTGACCTACAACCTCCCTCTCCAACAAAGAAATTTTTTTTTAAAAAGTCTACAGGGATACAGGTCAGTTGAAGCCTGCAAGATGGGAGGCATAAAACAATATTTTCCAGGCTACAGAAAGAGGATGAAAACTATGGCCACCTCCAAAGCCCTTTCATGTCAGCATCTTGGAGAAAAACAAAACCAAACCTCATATAACCCATTCTATTTCAGCTCTGGCCAGGCTTTAATTATGAGCTTTGATGATGATGATGATGATGATGATGATGATGATGATGATGATGGAGGAGGAGGAGAAAAGAGAGAGGAGAAAAAACAAAGAGGGAGGGAAAGGGACACAGAGACAGACAGAGATGGACAGAGACACAGAGACAGAGATATGACAGTTTTTTTGTTATCTACAAAATATGTTATAAAATATATTTACATCCCTAATCCCAAAACTGATTTAGAAACGTTGTCTCCCCCAACAACTGTCATCTCAATAGGTGGAACTTTATAGGTGAAAAGGCATAGAATAAACTGACTGAAAAGCCTAAATCATCTTTTGAGGCTTTTTCTATTTGAAAAGCCAGTTTTCATATCTCCATGTACAGTATCCCAAAAGAATACTGTGGCAATTTGGTACAGAAGAAAGGATGTGAGACTGGAAGTTAGGACAGACAGTTCAAATCCCAGCTCTGCCATTTAGTAATCCTTCTGATTTGACCAATTACTGTCCCTTCTCTGGGACTCAGTTTCTACATCTATTATAATATCTATCATTTATATGAGCTTTTTTTTTTAAAGCTTCACAAATGCTACTTCACATTATCCTTGTAACAAGACTGGAAGGTAGGTGTTAGTATTAATCCCCTTTTTACAGTTGAGGTAACAGAAACTGATAGAGATTAAAAATGACTTGCCCAGGGCAACATGACTAGTCATGATCTGAGGCCAATTTGAACTCAGTTCTTCCTGACTCTGGCAGTAAGCCAAGCCCTTGGTAAATGAAGTGCTCTAGAGTACTCCTTTTAATTGACTGGGACATTCAACTACATGATCTATATATGTAAGTAGTTATCTATCTATCTATCTCTCTATCTATCTATCCCTGGATACAGAGATATCCCTCTCTTTCTCCCACTCCCTCTTCCTCCCTTTCTGTAGGTGTGTATATATTACCCAATCAGAAATTAAAAAGTCCTACTATTATTATGAAAATGGTTTTGAACTTTTGCCCCCCTGAATGGCTCTCAAGGACCGCAAGGGATCCCCAGACCATGCTTTGAGAACCACAGATTTAGAAGTTAACTCTTGAACTAAGCTTTGAGAGAAACCAGGAACTCTTCAGAGGCAGAGATGAGAAGAGAACACATTCCAGGCATGGGGGAACAGCAAAGGGATAGAGACAGACAGGAGATGGAGTTTCTTGTGTGAAAAACAGAAACTAGACCAGCATGGCTGGATTGGAGGGTGCACAGAGGGGCCCAGTATGTGAAAGCAGAAAGGGGTTAGGTTGTGAAGTGAGAAATGGGTTGGTATCTTTAAATATTTTTGTTTAGAGAATTGCATTCCTTAGTGAAGTAATCACAAATATTATTAACTTAACATTATCAAGTACCAAAGAAGATATGTGTGTAGATACATGCATATACACATAATGATATACATATGTATTATGTAAAAGGATGCGTGCGGCGCGCGCACACACGCACACACACACACACACACACACACACACACACACACACACACACACACACACACACACGTTTTTAAGGCTGCCCAAATGTTCCTTTTTCATGAATTGTCTCTCTGGTATTCATTTAGTATTGCTGCCCACCCTATATGTAGAGTTAGAGGGTTGGCCCACTACATGGCCAGATCCTTAATTAGTGTTCTCCTGGGCATTCCCTTTAGGCTTAACAGCAAGTCCCCAGCAACTAGCCCAGTGTGGCAGGTAAGAAAGGCTTCAGAGGACCAAGGACAAAAGCTTGAGAATTGTCCTTGGGTGTATGCTGATCAATCACAGAAACTTTCCCAGGGCCAGAGATCACAAAACAATGCTTATCACTTGAAGGAATGTATTTGCATAACACATGACTAGATGTCTAACCATCAAAACAATCTAAGTTATTTACAATTTAGGAGCTTGATTAGGGAGCCCACAACCAGACCAGAACCAATGAATTTACATGGACACAGAGGGCTGTTTTCTTAACAAGGACAGCATTATCACCTGACTAGTGGTCAATGGTCAAAGTCACCGGCTGTCTGCTGATAAATCTTAGCAGCACATTACAGGGTTAGCAAAACGACATTGCAATTGGCACAATGGGTAGAGTACTGGATCTGGAGTCACAGAGGCCTGAGTTCAAATCCTGCTTCAGACACTTAGTAGCAACTGTGTGACCTTGGATAAATCACTAAACTACTCTTAGCCAACCTCACTTTTCTCATTTGTAAAATGGGGAAAATAACAGAAAACATGCCACAGGATTGTTGTGAGAATTACACAAGAAAGCCTACATAATGTAAAATGCTTTGAAAACCTTAAAGCACTCTTATTTTGGGAAGGCAGTCATGTGATATAGGGTGATGCTAAATAATGACAAAGAGAGTTGGGAAAATAGGGTAGCTGGTTCAGTCCTACAGAATGACAATACAAAATACAAATCATCAAAAAAAATTTTAATTATAACAACATCTCATCCATCCCACATAGCTAGGAAATGAGGTATTATCTACACAAATAAAATTTTCAAATAATTGAAGTTTGTCCAACGACTTCGATCGCCAGTTCATTAGGCATTTTTAAATCATTTGGGATAGAAATCTTTCAAACATTTAATTATACTGTTCCCAGACTTCTGAAATAGAGAACCGTGACAAGTCTAAAGTTTTCTTGATGACTCATGATGATTGTGGTAATATTAAGTACTGCACTGAACAATGATACTATCCTGTTTTCATTTGTCTGTTTTTTAGCTTGTTTGCCTCCTCCCGGGATGTCAAACCATCAGGTTTGTCACTTCTACTATATGAATCAGGCTTGTCATTTATCCTTCTATTATACTGCTTCTCATTTGCTATGGGTAGATAAACCACGTAATCCAGATTGTTAAATAGGGCATGATGAAATCAATAAGGCAATGAAAAAGACCTAAGGCATAAAGTACGTGGCTTTAAAGTAGCTCATTTTCTGAGCTCACAGAATCACAGAGTCAGGAAGAATCTAAAAGTCCAATCCCTACTTGGAACAGAAACACCATCTCTACTGTTCCCCAATGGAATTTCAGTGTCTGTTTGAACATCTTCAGTGAAGTGTAATTGTCACTGAAGGCAGCACAATTCCATAACAGGATTGTTCTAATTAGTAAGATACTGAGCTAAAATCCCCTCTGGAGCCAAATAGTACAAGTCCAATTCCTATCTAGCCTGATAAACCCTTCAAGTAAATAAATCTTAACTCTTCCTCCGCCTCCAAATAGTCTCTCTCCAGTTCTTGGTTTTGACTTGCCTTATCATCTCAATCAGGGGCAGCTAGATGGCAGAGGAGATAGAACTCCAGGCCCAGAATCAGGAGGACTCATGTTCCTGAATTCAAATTCAGCCTCAGACACTTACTAGCTGTGTGACCCTGGGCAAGTCACTTAACCCTGTTTGCCTCAGTTTCCTCATTTGTAAAATGAGCTGAGGTAGGAAATGGCAAACCACTCCAATATCTTTGACAAGAAAACCCCAAATGGAGTGACTAAGCATTAAACACAACTGAAAAACAACTGGACCGCCACCACCATCTCACATACTATATGTTTGCTCATTCCAGGTTTGACATCTGGATCACTGAGGTATAGATACAGAAGACAGAAAAATGCTTTTTTACTTGTGTTTTTTAAATTCTGCCTTTTTTATGAAACTTCAGTGATCATTTATTTCCCCATTGGTTTCACTTGCTTTGGGCTTATCTTTAACACTTATAAGGAATTTAATAATGTTGAACCCACAGGAAAGTGATAATATACTCACTATATACACAGGGCAAACAGGCATTGAGCACATCACAGGAACTCAGTAAATATTCAATAAATATTTATTAAGTACACACTATATTGCTATTCCGAAGTCAGAAATTTCCCTGAATTACAAAAA